TTATTAAACTATAATAAATTATTGTAAACAAGTGTGAAAATTTAATTCATACACTTAATTATCATAATATATATACATATATACATATATATAAATATATATTTATATACCTTTTGGAAGAAGCAGGGCGTTAGGCAGAATTTCATTCTCTAAAGAATAATAATAATAATATGTCATCTATACAAAACTTACAAGTGTCACATTAAAAAAAAATTTTTAATTGTTTTTAACTAAATTGGCATTAGAAATATTTTTTATTCATGCTCATATTTTTAAGTTATAAATGCATAATGATATATCATTCATAATATTGAATAATATATAAACTTATTACATAAAAGAAGTTCAGATCACTTTGCTCATGACTTTTTAAAAACTCTAGGAAATCTAAAATCATTTTTATTCCATTCATGTTGTTATTTTTTTTTGTTATTTTAAAACTAAGTATCCAATTTATTTGAACAAATTGCACACTTACCTAATGCAAAGACAATGTAATTTTTTTTATTTTTGTCAGTTATTTAGATGCTCTAAAATGGCATAATGGTCTTATCACAGAGTACAGGGGAATCACATTTAACCTGAATATTCATCTCTTATAATTATTTCTTATAATATTAAAAATTAAATAAAAATATTTGTTAATGGCTTGGACAGTCACCAGATATTTGGTGCATCGATGTTAGATTTTTATAAACAAACATATTTAGAGTGAGCAGAATTTATGGTTTAAACTAAATATAAAACTTGAAATAAAAAGAGAAAAATAGTTTCATAAACAAATTATCTCAAGCAGGAGCAACTGTAAAAGATGAGAAAAATATATATAAAAAAAAAGATTAAATAACTGATAAAGCAAACATTGAACTGATATGTTAAGAAAGGCAAAAACAAAAAACTTTTTAAAAACAATTTACAAGAAATATTTTGCCGAATCCCTAATGTCATAAAAGCAATCATACCAAATAACTTACAAAACTTAAAGTAAAAGAGATTGCAGTGCACCATTCATCAAAGATGTAAATGAACCAGTCATGATCAAAATAATTAAAAACTGAATTGTTGTTTTAGATTAACTAATGTCAATACAGTGTTTTGCTCAGCAGTTTGGAAATTAAAAATAAACAATAAAAAACTGTAATTTTAAATAGCATACTAAAAATTAGAAAGCAATGCATAAGCTTAAGCTGGTACTTTCGAATGCTTAAAAATTTAATAAATCTGAAAAAACCACAATCAACTAGGGAAGCATACAAAAGCAAAATACCAATTTTTTTCTGAATAAAAAAATAAATTAAAAAAAAAAATCAAAAACTAACTGAAGATCAAAGAAACTCTATGAAACGATTTTAAAAAGAAGTCAATAAAAGAAGACTTAAGAGTGTTAAAAACAAGAAATCATCTAAAGTTTTTATTACATTAGGTCAACAAACAACACCCAATAAATTAAATTCTCCAGGTATATAAGAAATGAATTTATAAATGAAGTCTATTTATTTCTTTTATTGTGTACAACGAAACAGCTTTGATAAACATGAAATAAATAATGATGCATATGTTGCAGTACCAGAATATTCAACTTATCTAATGTTACTAATATAATTCAATAACTCAAAATCAAGATTATAAATATACAAATTAATTGAATTTAGAAATTTTTTAAGCCGAATCATTGAAGGCATAATGAATAATCTGCAACTAAAAACTTTTTGACCCTAAATTTAAAAATGTTAGGCATCTGCTGAATTCTACTAAAAACATTTAGATAAAACTTCTTCCCAGAAAGTATTAAAATTTTACTTAAAAAACCATGTTCTAAATATTCTATATGCCCGATGTGATAAGTTGAATAAAAATTAACTTCTAAACAGATAAGCTTTGTCTTTATAGCAAAATCTGGCTAGATGTTACCAAACATAACAGGTAAATTATTACCTAAGTATAAAAGTAATAAACTTTATAATCATTAATCAAAGAATGCAACAGTTTCTTTATAAATACCTGCATTTCCATTTATAAGTGCAAAATCTTTTATAAAACCATCTTGAGTTTGATATGATTGATCTGAAGCATAAACATGAACATTTTCATAGGACTTTGGCTGAACATTTTCTTCTATAAAAACTGTTTCTCCATTCAATTTTATTGTATACACATACACAAAATGTTCTAACTGTTGACTTATTTCAATCTGTGACCACATGTTAGAAGGAATAGGAGCTGTTTTAAAAGAACTATTAAGATATCTATTTCCAGGAACAGTAATAGAAAGACTGCCATCACCACTGTTATGAAACCATACACCTGGAACACTATCATTAAATGCATTCACATCAGAACCAATTTTGAAACGAATAACATTGTGCCAACCTTCAGAATACGAGTTTGCTTTCACATCAAAATAAATTTTATAAGTTTTATCCAATATTGGAATAACTGCCAGCAGTTTGTTATGAACCAAAGGTGTTTCTCTATCTTCTATTAATTGCTCTAAAAATTAATAATGATTGTTTTTATTCCTTAGATACTAAAAAAAAAAAATTAAAACAACTATGTGCTAAAATTGTGCATTGTTTATAATGTGTAAATTATATTTAATGATGAAAAAGATATATATATAAAAAAAAATTAGCTAAAATACATCTCACTAACTAGTCTATATTTTGAAATGTATATAAAAATGGTTTTTTTACTTTAATAGAAAAAAAATTATTAAAGATTTTAAATATTATTCCAATTATATTCAATTAAATGTTAACTAAAAGCCTCGAGTAATTATACTCAATTAAATGTTAACTGAAAGCCTCGAGTAATTATATTCAATTAAATGTTAACTGAAAGCCTCGAGTAATTATATTCAATTAAATGTTAACTGAAAGCCTCGAGTAATTATATTCAATTAAATGTTAACTGAAAGCCTCGAGTAATTATATTCAATTAAATGTTAACTGAAAGCCTCGAGTAATTATATTCAATTAAATGTTAACTGAAAGCCTCGAGTAATTATATTCAATTAAATGTTAACTGAAAGCCTCGAGTAATTATATTCAATTAAATGTTAACTGAAAGCCTCGAGTAATTATATTCAATTAAATGTTAACTGAAAGCCTCGAGTAATTATATTCAATTAAATGTTAACTGAAAGCCTTGAGTAATTATATTCAATTAAATGTTAACTGAAAGTCTTGAGTAATTATATTCAATTAAATGTTAACTGAAAGCCTCGAGTAATTATATTCAATTAAATGTTAACTGAAAGCCTCGAGTAATTATATTCAATTAAATGTTAACTGAAAGCCTCGAGTAAATTAATGAATTTAGAACATCAACAATCTTTTTGTATTTTTTTGTTTTTTTTTTGTTATCATAATAGCATAAGATCTATTTTAAAAGTATATACTACCTTATGATACCAGCTATACTGAACAACTTTCCTTTGCATTAAGATTTGTTGATATTTCAAGCGATGAGATAGAGATTAAAGAACATTTTTTAACTTATCAACCTGTTGAAAAAATCACTGGACAATCTTTATTTGAAATTTTTCAAAAGTCGTTGGAAGATCTAAATTTAGTTTTAATGAATTGTAAAGGGCAAGGATATGATAATGGTGCAAATATGAAGGGTAAAAATAAAAGCGTACAAGCTTGAGTTTGTGAAATAAATCCAAGAGCTTTTTTTGAATTGTTCACCGAATATATATACTGTTTTCAGCATCAGTATCGAGATGGAACATTCTGTAAGATCATGTATCCAATTTTACAGTTAAACCTCTTTGTGAAACTTGATGGGAAAGTCGAATCGAATGTTTAAAACCAATACGGTACCAAAAATGGAAATTTACAATGCTTTAGTAACTTTGAGTGAAATAGACTCTTCTGATATTTCCATAAAGCACAAAGCTTATACATTATCTGATTAGATAAACACTTTTAGTTTTTGGTAATACTTGTTACCTAGTGCAATATTTTATACCGTGTAAATATTGTTAGCAAATCTATGATTACTATGCAATCTGCAGCCATGGATATAGCCTCAGTAGTTTCACTTATGAAATCATGTACAGAATTTGTGACAGAATATAGGATAACTGGTTTTGAAAGTTTTCTACTGGATGTAAAAGAGCTGGCTGAATCTTTGGAAGTTGAACTAATTTTTATTGAAAAGAGGTTACGCAGCAAAAAAAAAAAAGCTTTCTTAAAGGGGTAGAGATAAGAATGTAGTTTCAAAGAAAAATTTTTAGAACATTGTCTTTAAAGGGATCCCAAACTCCCAACACATGTTGTGTTCATATTAAAGATAATGTTAAAAAAAAAGGTTTGAACCAAGTTTTTTTGATTAAAAATAAATAATGAATGCATACCGAGAAAAACTAATGTTGTTGTTTTAGCCGAAGCTCGCCTTCTCCATTTTTTTCAATAACTCGGAGTCTTTAAATTATAGATTGCAATCTATAGACTTTGGCGATTCCTTTGAAGCGTGTTTAATTGATAAAGGTTTTAGCATTTGACGTCACGATAGATTTTTAACAAAAGAAAAGTGTAATTAAACAAAGCTGCGTTTTTCTATTTTAATTAAGAAAAAAAAAATTTTAACATACAGCAAAACAACTTTTCAACAAATTTTTGTAAAAATCAAAAATAATAAAAGCTTTTTATTTCATAAGAGGAACTTTTTTTTACCAATATCTTAATAATTTTTAGATTTATATATCTTAATTATATTTCTTTTAATTTTAAATTAAAACAAATATTAAAGCTTTAGTTACCAATCTTACGATTTTCATATGAGTGTTTTACATTATATAGAATGTTATGTATACAGTCTCTCGTTTTTGTGCAAGAGAGCGCAGTATTATATATTCTGAATCTTACTTATTTTTATTTAAACAATGGGAACTTTTTTCTAACTTCTCTGGTTATTTTTACGCTATGATATTTTTTGTTTTCCCATCGAAAAAAAGTATTAATTTCATAATTTCATAAAAATTTCATAAACTGAAAGTATTAATTAGAGATATTTGATGAATTGTTAACTTTTTTATAATAAAAATTTTTTGATTACGCTGATTTATTTTAAATTGCTAAATTTGCTAAGTTGGATACGGATAAAAAGGAAATATCATTTTATTTTACATTTGATTTTTGATAATGAAACTTTTAAAATTTCGGCAACTCCATAGCAATTAGAACCTGATAAGGTTATGAAAAAAAAGGACAAGAATACACTAAACAATACAGTTGACAGTAGTATCAGATATGAAAATTAGTGAAGAGATATGTGAGATCCTGGTTTTTGCATTATAAGTACAATTAATAGCAACACAAGTCGGCGTTATAAATTTTGATTATAAGTTTACTGTTCAATATTTTACAACCATCAAATAAAAAAAAATAAAGTTTTTATATTTTTGCCCATTTTATACAACTAATATTTAACAAAAATACGGACAAACTATTATTATATAACGCAATAATTAACACATTAATTAATGGCAATAATTCAAGATAAATGGTAAATTAAATTGGAAAAATGTCATAAAGCGCGTTAAAAAACATTATATTTGGTATTTCCCAATTTGTATCGTATTTGGCATTTGTCTCTTAACATGAAAAATTTTAAAACACAACAAATACAAATTTTCAAGCAATTTTCTCTTTCAATTTTCATTTATTCAAAGAAAAGTTACTATTAAACTTTTATTCCTCTCATCTAAAAAAAGAATGAGTGACACAAAAAAAAAAAAAAAAAAACTCTTATTCATTCGAAGTTTAATTACACAAAACTTTTCTTTCTCTTTTGTTCTACTCTTTTATAAAAAGAGTGAGCGATGGAATAAAAATTTTTCTTTCTTAACATAAATTTATACTTAGAGATAAAATTAAATTAGAAATAAAGCAACAATGAACAAAGCAACTAACAGATTAATCTGGGACTATATTGATATTAATGAAAATAATCAACATAAACAACATTACCCACAGCAATTATCAAATAAACAACACAATATCACATAATTTTAGGGGGGTTTTATTTTTATTGTTTAGTCGTTCTAAATAATAAGTAAATTTAGTTCAAGTTAATATTTCAATATTTACAGTTGCAATATAATAAAGAAATGATGTTTAATGTTGAACTTTTTATTTAATTATTTATTTTTGCATACATTTGTTATAAAAAACTTTTAAACCCCCGTCATTAAAATAATTTGTTTTGAATATATTTCAAAGTGTTTATTGAAACAAATTTTTTTTCGCTTGACTTCCCGAACTTCATGCAAAGCAAATTAAGACGAAATATTATCTAACCAAATAAAAATGCTTTTACTAATTTTATAAGGGTAATTAATGTAAAACAATTTTTTATCAGAGTCTTGATTGAGATAATAAATATTCAAAATTTATAAACATTAAATACATGGCGCAATAACAATTTATAGCAACGAACCAGCATAAAATATTTGAGGTTTTTAATATCTTTTTAAATCTTAAAAATAGAAAAAAAAAAACTTAACATATAATCAAAAAAAGTTCAAATAAAAATAAATAAAAATATTTCCAGAGTTTCATTTGTTAAAATTCTACTGTGACGTCAAATACTAAAATTTTTATGAATTAAATGTGCTTCAAAGGAATCGCCAAAGTCTGTAGATTGCGACCTATAATTTAAAGACTCTGAGTTATTGAAAAAAATGGAGAAGGCGAGCTTCGGCTAAAACAACAACATTATTTTTCTCGGTATGCATTCATTATTTATTTTTAATCAAAAAAACTTGGTTCAAACCTTTTTTTTTTAACATTATCTTTAATATGAACACAACATGTGTCGGGAATTTGGGATCCCTTTAATGCTATTTTAGATAATGCCATAGCATCTCTTCAAGAAAGATCAAAAGATTCCAAAAGAAAGCAGTGGAAACCTGTTTTTTTGACGCAATTGTCTTACTTCAACAACTGAATAAATTTCCCCAAACTTGGGGAATATTATATAATCTGAAGAAATTACTTGCAGACAATGACTTACTTAAGAATCAGATCTGCATTTGAAAATAAAAGTAGAAAATAAATGCGATATTAATAAATTATTTAAGGAATTAAAATCGGCATCTACCCTTTTGCCCAGGCTTGGTCGGGAAGCGGGAGCGATCGCTCCCAAATACTGACCACGGAAATTATATTTAGTTGCGTAAAACTGGCCAGGTTTTTTAGTCGTTTTGAGAACATTTAAGTTTATGTACGAAACAAAGACTTTTTGTTTTATGGATATACATGGAAACATAAAAAAACTAAATGTTCTCAAAAACATCTTTGTGCGAAAGAATAAAAAGAATATTTGCGAACACTAAAAACCCGCCAAATTAACAAACAAACTAATTCTATTAGTTCAAAAAATACGCTGATTAAGCAAAATAAAGTTCTAGAGTATTCTGTTAAAATGTTTTAGAAATTGTATTATTCACGATTTGTTACGTTTTGAGATTTCTAGCATTGTTTTAAGAAT